GCCAGGTCTACCAATGTAGTGGGAAGGCCTGGGTAGACCTGGACTCCGGAGGCCAGGTCTACCAATGTAGTGGAAAGGGGTGGGTAGACCTGGCCTCTGGAGCGGGGGCGCGCTCTGGGCCAGGGGGGGGAGATTGAGCCAGGGAGTGGAGGTGGATGGAGAAGACAGGGGAACCGGCGGGATGGGGGGGAACTTGCCTCCTCCTGCTGCTTCCTCCTCTTCCTCACAGGTGTGGAGCTCCCCCTCTCCCGCGAGTATCGCGGGTCCCCCACTTGTGCTTATCTAATTCCCTTTTGAAGCCGTCCATGCTTGTAGCTGCCACCACTTCCTGTGGCAGTGAATTCCATGTGTTAATCACTCTTTGGGTGAAGGACTTCCTTTTATCCATTCTAACCTGACCGCTCAGCAGTTTCATGGAGTGCCCACGAGTTCAGCGTCTTAACCCCTTGAGCCAGGTAAACCTGACTATTGACATACTGTCAACTGTTAATCCCTAAACACAGGGCCTGGCCCTCAGGCTGCTCACTCATTAGAAGGCTAAGACTCAAGGAGAGCGACAGTGTGATGTCACCATCCGCCACAAGCGCCAGTGGCAACCGATATACAGCCAGGACTGTAATGACATTCAATGATCCATTTCAAGGGGATGCACAACTTTCATGTCTATTAGAATGGGATTTGGGGATTCAACAAAGGCTACTGGTCAAGCCAAAACCCTTGAGGCAGAGCAGGCGTGTCCAGGGCCACCCGCTCCCGCAACAGACAGGAAGACATTTTTTTTAAGAAACAAGGCTTTGTTGTAACAGAACGATCCAGGAAGACATTTCAGCAGAGAGAACAGGCCAACGGACTATACTGCTGGTCGTGAAAAGCTTCGTCCAGTTGCAGCCAACTTATGGCGACCTACCGGGGTTTTCAAGGCAAGAGACACTCAGAGGCGATTGGCCGTTGCCTTGCCTCTTCCTGGCCGCTAAGGACTTCCTTGGTGGTCCCCTGTCCAAGTATTGTCTGTTTATAGGTTGCGGTTAAAGGTAAAGGTTCCCTTGCTCGAAAGCCAGTCGAATCCGACTCTAGGGTTGCGGTGCTCATCTCCGTTTCAAAGCCGAAGAGCCAGCGCTGTCCGAAGACTGTCCGAAGATGTGGCCGGCATGACTAAACACCAAGGTGCACGGAACACTGTTACCTTCCCACCGAAGTGGTACCTATTTATCTACTTGCAATTTCTTGCTTTCGAACTGCTAGGTTGGCAGGAGCTGGAACTAGAGACGGGAGCTCACTCCGTCATGCGGCACACTCGGGTCTCGAACTGCTAAACTACCGACCTTCCACAGCCTGCAGTTCAGCGTATTAACCACTTGAGCCACCGCAGCTTCTCCTATGTTGCTGTTACTGCATCCTATTTCTACTGAAGGATTACCATTTCTTGCGTTGTTTGCCCTGCCATGTTCAATACTTAAGCCTCATTTCAGATTCCTGCTAAACTAGGCTAATAATAATAACAATAACAACAACAATAATAATAATGGTGTGCCATCAAGTCGCAAACTACAGATGGCGAGCCCAGGACAGTGGGTTTTTCAAGCCAAGAGATGAGCAGAGGTGGGTTGTCATTGCCTTCCTCTGCACAGCAACCCTGGTCTTCCTTGGGGGCCTCCTATCTGAGCCCTTTTATGTGGCTTATTTGCTGTCTCTTCATCCTATGGACTGCAATCCTATGGACTTACACTGCATCCTATGGACTTACACTGCAATCTGCCTTGAGTTACAATGAGAAAGGCAGACTATAAATAACAGAAATAAAGAGGCAACAGTGGCAAAAATCACAGCTTCCACGTCTATCAAGCAAGACAAGAGGGAGCCTTACCCAGAGAGGTCACATTCCCATAGTTCTCCACCATGACGTCTCTATACAAAGCTCTCTGGTCAGGATTCAGCAGCGCCCACTCGGCCTTCGTGAAACGCACGGACACCTCCTCGAAGGAAACCGGACACTGAAAAAGAAGGAAGATACTTTTTCCCTCACAACTCATCTCACCACTAATCCACCCACTCCTGCCCAAAGACGCTCACAATACCGAAAAAAGAACACACGAAGCAGCGTCATACTGAATCAGCCCACTCTTCTACCAAGGTCAGTCCTGTCCAGTCCAACCAGCAGGGTCTCGGTCTCTCCAGAGAGTCATGCTGGGAACTGAACCTGGGGGCCTTCTGCGTGCCAAGCGGGTGCCCTACAGCTGAGCCACGGCCCCTCTTCAAGCGACTGCAGATACTAAAACTAGAACATCTGAAGCTGTAGTCTACTGAGTCAGACCCTTGCTGGACCATCGTAAGCACAGTTACATGACTGTATATCCACTGACTGTTGGTCCATCAAGGTCAGTTGTCTGTTCTGACTAGCAGCAGCTCACCAGGACCTCAGGAGGTGGTCTTTCACATCACCTCCTGCCTGATCCTTTTATCACCTGGAGATGCCAAGGATTGAACCTGGGACCTTCTGCATAACAAGCAGGTGCTCTTCCACAGACCCTCCTCTTCATCCAGACCCTTCATCTCAGGTTCTTGTTACCCCAAGAGGGAGCTCTACCTTCAAGGAATACTTGACACACCACAGAAAGACATAAAAGCTTGCCTGGGGAATTTATAGGCATCCCATCTTTTCATTTATGGAACAAGTTCAGTGGACCACAAGACCTCCTGAACAGGTTGCTGCGTTACTCAGAAAGCCATGGAAATACATTTCCTTCCTTTCTTTCTTTAAGCGTACTAGGCCCCTTTTACCCTGTGGAGAAATCTAAGGTGGCTTACAAGAAGAAGGTGGTTCCAAATTACAAACAGAAACAGTTCCTTCCAGCCCTGCTGGAGGGAACGGAGGCATCAAGTTTCTCTTCACACATCTCTTCATAGGTGATCCATCTCTTACCTGAGCTGGCTGCATCTTCAGTGTTTCCACTCCACTCCCAAAGAGGAGACGTTCTGGAACCCGGCTCTGAGGCTCTTCCACGGCCTGTAGGGAGACGCATTTATCTTGATTGGTTTACCTCATTTACACCCCACATGTGCCCCAGAGAGCACTGAGGTCAGGGACTCAAAACCGCCTGACTGTCCCTGGCCCGAAAGACACCAGGCTGGCCATTACGAGAGCCAGGGCTTTCTTGGTGGCGACTCCACACTGGTGGAATGAGCCCCCAGAGGACATCAAGGCCCTGTGGGACATTCTACAGTTCCGCAGGGCCTGTAAAATGGAGCTCTTCCGCCAGGCCTTTGAGTAGGAGCCGCCACTGACCATTGCAAACTGAACACACCACAACCCTATATAACAACGCCGGATATGGCCTTTCCATCGGACCTTTTAAAGAAATTCCCACCATCGGTTTACACTAGCACTTTATCTAACTGTTCTTACTGAAATTTTTTAAATCAGATTTTATTGTATTTTAATCTCTGTAAGCCGCCTTGAGCCAGTCTGCATCGGCAAGGTGCAATACAAATTGAAAATAATAGTAATCTTTCTTCTCAAAGGGGACCCCAAGCGGCTTCCATTGTTCTCTTGTCCTCACAGGTGGAGACCATGCAACTGGCCCAAAATCAGCCAGTAACCTTCCATGGCAGAGTGAACACTTGATCTTCAACCTCCAAGATCCTGGTCAGAAACTCTACTCACTAAACCACACTGGCTTCGATAGCTCAGGGAGGTTCTTAAACTCCCTTTGTTTTAAATGAGGAGATATTTCCCCCCTCCCAGTCTGTGCTGCCTTCCTGCCCAATGAGGACTTGTAAACAGCTTTCATTGTTCAACCCCCTCTCCATTTTATCCTCACAACAATTCTGTAAAGTAGGCTACACTGGTTGTGGGTGACTGGCCCAAGCTTCCACAGGAGAGTGGGGATTCAAAGCCGGTCTCCCAGATCCCAGTTCAACACTAACCAATTCACCAGCTTTTGACCTTCCCAGGGAGAGGAGGAGAGAAAGAAACAGAATTACCCTTGTATGAGAATTACCTTAAAAGGGAGGCCTGCTCTACATGTAAGACGAGCCTCGAGTCTCACAGCACTGATAACTTCAGCCGGTGAATGCCAGAACAGGACAAAAAGGGAAAAGGGGAAAAAACTGAACCTAAAACTTAGAATTCAGAACCTAAAAAGGTTAGTCAAGGATAGAAGAGGGCCAACTCTAAAAATCATACAAAAATATACATGTATTTATTACACACAAATTAAAATAACAAAGAAGGGCCCATTCATACCTCATAAACAAATATATATATA